AAGAATGGCTAAAGAAAACTTTCCAAACAAAATGGCAGAAGGCTGGGACTTTCAGAAAGGAAGAAAACAACTGAAAAGGTAAAAATAGAAGTAAACATAATAGATTGTTCTTCAGCTCTTGAGTTTCTTTATCCATATTTTCTGGTTGAAACAAAAGTTATAACCCCATCTGATGTGATGCTCCGTGTATGCAGAGGAAATACATAAGATAATTATATTCTAAAAGTGAGGAGGATAAAGGGACCAATTAAAAGACAGATATTGGTAGAGTGGATTAAAAAAACTTGACCCAACTATACGTCATATACAAGTGTACATAGGTAGACAGAAAGTAATGATGGAAACTTAAATATTATGCAAACAATTTTTTTTAAAAACATCATTTTAAAAGGCTATATTATTATCAGATAAAGTAGACTTCAGAGAAAGAAAATTACTAGGGACAAAGAGGGACATTATAAAATGGTAAAAAGGATCACTCCCCCAAGTAGGTATAGCAATCCTAAATGTGTATGCAACAAACACCAGAGCTTTAAAATACATGAAGCAGGGACTTCCCTAGTGATGCAGTGATTAAGGATCCGCCTGCCATTTCAGGGGACACGGGTTCGATCCCTGGTCCGGGAAGATCCCATATGCCGCGGAGCAACTAAGCCCATGTGCCACAACTACTAAGCCTGCGCTCGAGAGCACGCGAGCCACAACTACTGAAGGCTGTGCGCCTAGAGCCCGTGCCCTGCAACAAGAGAAGCCACCACAATGAGAAGCCCGCACACCACAATGAAGAGTAGCGCCTGCTCGCCACAACTAGAGAAAGCCCACGCTCAGCAATGAAGACCCAACACAGTCAAAAATAAATAAATAAAAAATAAATTCATTAAAAAAAAACAGCTTGAGCACCAGTTGCTTTAAAAATAAATAAATAAGATATGTGAAGCAAAAACTGATAGAGCTAAAAGTTGAAATAGACAAATCTACAGTTATAATTGGGGAATTCAACACCCTACTCTCAGCAATTGATAGAACTAGAACAGAAAGTTATCCAGCGTATAAAAGAACTGAACACCATCAACCAACAGGATCTAATTGACATTTTAAAACACGCCCCCCAACAGCAGAACAATATACATTCTTTTCAAATGTCCATGAAATATTCACCTAGATAGGCCATATTAATAAATTTTAAAAGAATTGGAAATATAGAGTATGTTCTCTGACCATAATGGACTCAAACTAGAAATCAATAAAAGAAGGACAACAGGAAAATCTGCAGACATTTAAAAGAATACCTAATATAACCTGAGCAGTTCATGGAAACTTCCTAGAGAATGGACTCGCTTGTATAAATAATGTATAGGTGTTTTCCAGGTAAAGACATAGAACTATGGATTTTCCAGCTAGAGGGGACAACAGATGAATGGGGTGAGAAGAAAACATGTCTTCTGTTAGTTGAAAAAGGCAAGGAATGATGAGATATAAGTTTGCAGACGTTTGTCATTTTTGTGAAATTCTAGTATCTGAGCCTCATTCTAACTGGGGGGAAATTTCCTGTTCTGGTGAGAATGAGAAGCAGAACTCATGTCCAGCCTTGGAAAAAGGCAGATACTCATTCTCCCAACCCTTGCAGATAAGGAATGGGCATATATGATCTAAGTTACACCAGTCAGATAGACCTTCACTGACTTGGAATTGGGAGATAGTGACACAAAATGGCGGGGACAGTGAAGACTTTTCAGAGGCGGCACTAGCAGGTCAGCAAGATCCAGTTCTAGACAGAGCAAGGGCAGCTGTGCTAGCCACAGCGCCACAGACCAGTTCTATAGCAAGACTTGGAGTGTTGTCCCTTGATGTGCCACTTGAAGCTGGGTTCCGCAGTTTTCTAGCAAATACTGTTAACGATTTCATATTCTTTCAATAAATTATTTCACTACTTAAAGTCAATTTCTGTTGCTTGAACTAAGAATTCCTGTTGATAGAGGCTTCCAAGACAGGAGGAACAGGATTGAGGGGGGCCATATTAAGAAGTGTGGCTCATTCTGGAAGGAATGGCAAATCATTGAAGGTGTATTAAGCTAGAAAGTGATATGGGCATATTTTTGCATTAATAATACCGGTTGTAAATCACAAGCGCCTGAAATGGGCAGTAGCACATACAAAGACTGAGAAGTAGGACTGGTAGATTAAAAATATGCAGGAAGGGGCTTCCCTGGTGGCGCAGTTGTTGAGAGTCCGCCTGCCGATGCAGGGGACACGAGTTCGTGTCCCGGTCCGGGAAGATCCCACATGCCATGGAGCGGCTGGGCCCGTGAGCCATGGCCGCTGAGCCTGCGCGTCCAGAGCCTGTGCTCTGCAACGGGAGAGGCCACAACAGTGAGAGGCCCGCGTACTGCAAAAAAAAAAAAAAATGCAGGAAGGAGGAAGGGATGAAAGAGAGGGAGTAAAGGATGACTGCCAGACTTCTCACCTGGATGTCTAGAAGAATAGTTCCTCAAACCGAGATGAACTGGAACCAGTTTAAAAATGAATTTACATTTGGACATATTGATTTTTTTCTTTAAACTTTTTATTTTGAGATAATTGTAGATTGACATGTGTGAAAGAAATAATACAGAGAGATCCTGTGTCCCCTTTACCCAGTTTCCCCAGGTGGTAGCACCTTACAAAACTATACACAGTATCACAGCCAGGATATTGATATGAGAGAGCCAGGATACAGAACAGTTTCACCATTGATAAACTGAATGTCATCAAAATTAAAATGCTTTACTCTGTGATAGATGAAAAGATAAATTACAGAAAAAATATTTTGCAGATCACATATCCAGCAAAGGGCCCGGATCTAGAATATGTAAAAAACTCTCAAAATTCAATAAAAAAAAATCCAATTAGAAAATGGGCAAATGCACCAATATTTTACCAAAGAGGATATACAGATAGCAAGTAAGCATATGACAGATGTTCAACTTCATTAATTAGAGAAATGCAAGTTTCTCTACTGCGCACATGTTATAATGCCTAAAATTAAAAATGGTGGTAACATCAAATTGCTGCTGAGGATGTGGAAAAACTGGCTCACTCATCCATTGCTGGTGGGAATGTAAATGGTACAGCCACTCTGGAAATAGCTTTACAGTTTCTTTTAAAATGGACTTATCATACAACCCCACCAATACACTCTTGGGCATTTATCCAAGAGAAATCAAACTTACTTTCATGCAGAAACTTGTGCACAAAAGTTCACAGCAGCTTTATTCAAAACGGTCAAAAAACTAGAAACTACCCAAATGTCCTGCAGTAGGTGAATGGTACATTCATAAACTGTGGTACATTCCTACCATGGAATACTACTCAGCAATAAAAAGGAATGAATTATTGGTATACACAACCTGGATGAACCTCAAGGAAATTATATGGAGTGAAAAAAGCCAATCTGAAAAGAATGGATACATACTGCATGACCCCATTTATGTAACACTCATGAAACAGCATAATTACAGAGATGGAAAACAGATTAGTGATTGCCAGGGGTTAGGGCTGGAGGAAGAGGGAGGCTGTGGCCAAAAGGGGGAGTACAGTAGAGTATTTCCATAATGGTACAGTTAACTGTCTCGAATGTGGTTGTACTTATACAAAACTAGACATGCTAGTTACATAAAACTAGCTATACACCTACATATAAATGAGTGCATGTATAATTGTGAATTTATATATGCTCTATAGATTGTAGCAATGTCAACTTCCTAGATTGATACTGTACTGTATTTACACAAGATGTTAACATTGGGGGAAGCTGGGTGAAGGGCGCAGGAGGCCCCACTGTACATTTATTTGCAACTTCCTGTAAATCTAATTATTTTAAAATAAAACATTTATTTATTTGTGATAAGAACATGTAAGATCTACTCTCTTTCAAAATAATTAGACCAATTACAGAAGACATGCAGCACTGTCTTGTCATGGGTTCATATGCTTTTGTTTTCCATTTTGACAGAGCTGAACTTGTGGCTGGATCATCACACCCCACCTATTCTTTCCCCCGGGGTGGTGGTGACGGTGTATGGTTTAAAAAGTTGTCTCTTTCTCATTAAAACTTTTCATAGCCCCCATAAAAATGCTTGTTGCATCTTTCCTTCTGCCTGCCCCATTCTGTCTCCATTTGGAGATGGGACTTAAAGCCTTTGGGTACTTTAAATGTAACTTACTCATTTTATGTTCCAAGCTTTATTGTAGCATCTTAAGACTGAGCATTCAGCCACTTAGCAGTGTCTTGAAATCCTAAGCAGCTAAGAAATCCTAGGGCCTTCTCTTGTCTTTTCCATGGTGAGTAACCTTGTATTCAGGGAGAGGACAGGGAGAGAAATGGAGAGCCATCAATTATACAGAACTGTTCTTTGGAAAGCTTGAGCGTCCATTTATCCTTCTCCCCAGGGGCAGCGGCAGAGCGGGGAAACTTAGTCACTACTAACAATATGAAATAATACAAAATGCCAACACAGTATTACTTTTGAACAGTGACAGAGATCTGTAATATAAGTTTAGCATAACATTAAAGCCACAAGACCTCCTGTTTATGTCTTATTGAAACAAATCACTTCCCCTTAGACTCGCGTAAAGCCTCAAAGCTGATGACAAAAGGCAGTCATTTCCTACTTGTATGCAGAGAGGAAACAAAGACAGAGCTCTAGTCCCTGACTGGATGGCCAATCAATATTACAGAAGAGCAAAATCCACCCCTTAGTTGGGCCCCTCGTTCTCCATCTACACGGTTTTCAGGACTTTGGCATTGACTGTGATCACCGTGTTCTCTAATAAAGAGCAGCCGTGTGAAGACATACCTATTCATCTCAGGAGAGAAGATATTTGGTTGTATTTCTGATATAGCGCCTTGAATTCTTGAAGGAAAAGAATCAGAAAGATTTATGTCAATGCCAGGGTGCTGATGCGAAAGCTGAAGTTCTAAATCCTACGGGTGGCTTAGAAAAGGCTTTCAGACCAAAGCTGAAGTTCTAAATCCTACGGGTGGCTTAGAAAAGGCTTTCAGACCAAAGACAGGGAGTGGAAGTTTATAAAAGCACTGCGGATGGCTTTTTGTTTTCCTTCTTGAAGAGCCATTCCTAAAAGAAGCAAGTCAACCACATACTGAATTGTATACCCTCATCCCCTTTGCTTGTCCATTCAGCCTGAATGAATTAAGGGATGAGGGAAGATGCTACCAGATATTCTCTGAAGCTGACACATGATGGCTTTGCTACCAAGCTGCTGGATGGTTTGCTCCTGTTGTTAGCTTTGTAGGCTCTGGGTAGTTTTTCTTTCAACGATTGTTGCATTTCTCATGATTTCACCCTCAGCCGCTTAGGGGTCTCTCCTGAGATTGGCTCTACTCTGAACGCAAACTCTGTGCGTGCGTACGAATATCAGAGTACCCACGTGCCTGCCAGTCTAACTCCAACGACCTGCGGTCATAGTGGGGTTTGCGATCACCAAGCCTCTTCAGAATGCCCTGGTTTTCCATGGTGATTCTCACTAGCTCCCGGTTCCTTGTTTCTCTGTTTAAGCTGAAAAATACAAAATCCCAAGATGCGTGAAGAATAAAGTTCTCCTCCTGGATGGGAGTGGGGGAGATGAAGTCGTGATGTCATAAATCCAGGCTGCCAAAGTGCAGGGAACCAGCTGTCCCGCAGAGCCCTGAGGCCCCGTATGCCTGTTGAACCAGACCACGCTCTGGGAAACGTGCAAAGCCTTTTCAGATTAAGATCAGTGGTTCTCAGCCCTGCTGCCTACTAGAAAATTCTACTTTATTGGTCTGGGATGGAGCTTGGGCATTGGCATTTTGCAAAAGCTTCCCAGGCATTACTATGTGAAACCAGGATTGAGAATCTCTGGCTTAGAGGATGAAGGTCTTGCCTATAGATACATCACAAATGGCCGATGACAAGTTTTGGTTCACCTCACTCCCCTCAGCTGTCAACTCGATTTCAGAATACAAGGATTAGGAAAGACTTCTTGACACTCCCCACCCCCCTACACACACACACACACACACACACACACACACAC